TTTCAGGATTCAATAAGTATGAGAAAAATACAGCAGGTCTTGGATGTGAACACATCACAAAGACAGGCCATGAATATAGTCCTTGCAAACTTCTCCCAGCTGCCTTCATCAAACCAACAGAGAGTTGGTTGTTACTTCTGTATCTTAAATATGTATAAATATGTCAAAGTCTCAGTAAACACTGAGATTTCTTCAAAGATGATTTTTCCTTAGTGAGAAGCTAACCAGTGAATGAGGCTGGAGGGAAAGGGCAGGGGTTTTTTTTGTGACTGCTGCAGCCTCAGACATCTGTGTACATATTCTCCCTCATTTGCAGCTCAGTGTTTCAGCCTTTCTGCTTTTCTTTTCTCTATTGTTATAAAAGTGTTGAGTTTCCAAATACATTATTTAAGATTAGTATGAAAATTTAATCTAAAGGAGGTTCTGGTTCTGCTATCTTAGAGTTTGCTATTACTTGGAAGATTTTTGTGCTGTTGTCATCTCCTCACTTCCCTTCTTTCCTCTTTTTATTGTTACTTTTTTTCTCACTCATCATCTTCCGTCAGCTGCAGTTATTGTAGGTAGGATTCTATGACAAAAGGGACTTTTCAGGAAAGAGTTCTGAAAACAGTCAGAATAATTTTACAGTAAGAAAATCTCTGGGGGTTTTCCTGTTTGTCTGTTCCTATTCACACACAAACAGAACAGTAGAAATCACTGAGAATTCTTCTATTCCTATAGTGTAGCTCTCCCTTTCCAGGTCTGGCTTATCCATATCTCTAAAACCTACAGAGAATGTCAGCACCAGAAGCTAACCTTTTTTTGGAGCCAGTTAAATAAAAGGTGCTGATGCAAAGTGCCTTATTCTGATGGTCAAGCAGAATAATTGGCTACGTAGTACTTAGGCACATCTGATTTTATACACCGTATAATCAAGTTCCTATGATTCCAAAGATTTAATTGAATGGCAACTCTGTAAGAGGTGCTAACTATCCTGTGAAGTTACAACATGCTGACCATTCAGAAACTCGTATATTTTTTCCACGTAATAACACTAAATTTTTACAGGAGAAGCAAGGAAAGGTTTCAAAGTCTTCAACCTCTGGATTCCTTTGTCTCAATCAATTGACACAACGAAAATAAAAATCAGATTACCATTATCTTTTTTTTTTTTTTCACCATTTTAAAACGAAAGGATGAGTCTTCCATCATTTGCCTGACTTACCACTTCCTGAAATAGAACTCAGCTTTGGAAAATCCCTGCCTGGTTGTTGTCTTTTGCAAATAACTGATGACCCTTGTTCTGCAGTAGTAACCAGTGTAAATCTGGAGCATAATCACTAATGGCAGCAAAGAATTTAGGTCTCGGAACCTGAAGTGAGGTTTTACATCTTTCTACACAATTACTAAAAGCCTCCCTAAAAAAAATTGTTTTGTAACTACAATCCAGCCCATTGAACCATGTACAGAATAGTGATCAAATTAGAGCAGAGTATTACAGAATAATCTGACAAGAATAATTCTTAGACTTTTAGCTGGTGTACACTGCACTGGATTATTAATTTCTGATCAGATAGCAAAGTACCTCACCCAAGTACACCTCAGCAAGTCACTTTCATTTAATTTGCCTTCTGTGGAACATGACAGCATCTGTACACTTTGAGATGTAATTGCTGTTATCCTTCAGAGTTTTTTTAAACAAACACAATCATCCTCCTGAATTACTAACTTTCCATGACAATTTTTTGAGGTTGCATTTTTTTAAACTAATATCTTTCAGACAGATCCTGAATAATGTAAAAGGATAAAGCCCACATGAAAAAATCAAGATTTCAGAAATGAAATTTTAGCTGTCAAACTTAGTTGTTCTTTATTCCCTTAATATTCTTCAAACAAACACCATTTCACTCTATTTCATAAAGAACATTACCTTGGAGGCCATAATATCTCTGAATTTTGTTTTAGGTTGATTTTTAAGTTAGAGCACTGAACGTTAAAAAAAAAAAATCCACATTCTAAGCAGCTATTAGGAGGAACTGCTGCCAAACGTGTGCTCCCTCCTTTTTTTTTTTCTTCAAATGTTTCTGTGGAAGAAAATTATTTCATATTCAATCCTCAAGACAGATTTACAGGGGCAAAACAGCCTTTCTTTGCAGGATTTAGAATGGAAAGACAAATTTCATGGAGGAGATCTTACCAGTGCTCTGATTTAGCAAAGTACCCAACAATATCTATATGTAGTGCAACAGCAGTTCCTCTGGAACTATTTATGAGTGTCGCTTGTTTGCATATTAAAGTGTCTCAGCATTCTTGGCAATATGACAGAGCCAGACAGACTAAGGGACACAATTCTTCCCCTGCACTCAGAGCAGGTGAGGTCACACCTGGAGTGCCGTGTCCAGTTCTGGGCCCCTCAGTTCAGGAAGGACACTGAGGTGCTGGAGCGGGTCCAGAGAAGAGCAACGAGGCTGGTGAAGGGACTGGAGCACAAGTGCTGTGAGGAGAGGCTGAGGGAGCTGGGGTTGTTTAGTCTGGAGAAGAGGAGGCTCAGGGGTGACCTCATCACTCTCTACAACTACCTGAGAGGAGGTTGTAGCTGGGTGGGCATTGGTCTCTTCTGCCAGGCAATCAGCTGTAGGACAAGAGGGCATGGGCTTAAGCTCTGCCAGGGGAGATTTAGGTTAGACATTTGGAAGAAATTCTTCACAGAAATGGTGATTGGGCATTGGGAGAAACTGCCCAGGGAGGTGATGGAGCCACCTCCTGGAGATATTTAAGAAGAGACTGGACTGGCACTTAGGGCCATGGTCTAATTGACAGGGTGGTGTTGGGGCAGAAGTTGAACTCTATGATTTCAGAGGTCTTTTCTAGCCTAGTGGATTCTGCGATTCTGTGAATTCTGGCTTCTCTTCTGGATGTCAGTCCACAGTGTATTTGTGAACAAACTTTGGGTTTTCGTAGCTATTTACATGACAAGGATCAAAGAGGAAAGAACACTAAAAATACTTATTCCACAATTTATTAGTAACTTTTTAATGCTTAGAAAGAACTGACAGCAAATGATGTCTAATTCCTTTACTGCTGTTCTGAAAGTGTCCCAGTCACGCAGCTGGCTTACCAGTACTGGGTAAGCTCAGCCCAGGGGGAATACCAGACCTCTCACACTGGTGTCTTTCATTAAGTCTAATCACAATTCCTAAAAGGTTTAGGGGATAGCATTTGAACCAAAACTCTCTCAGAGTACTTGGTTCTCTCCTTTCACTTCTGCTGCCTGCCACACTCAGACTTCCCTCAGAAGGGCAGCTGTGAACTAAAGAGAGAGAGATGCCAAGGTAACTATGTAGAAACATTGTCATTGGCACCTACCATGCCAGGTTTTACTTACTTTTTTTTGTACATCTGCAAGTGAGAGGTGACCCTGGGAACCTAACAGTGGAAAGTCCTTCTACTGACCTGTACATCACAGATGACAAGTGGAAATACTCAGATTCTGTTGAGATTTACACTGGGACCAGATGCTACACGAGAGCTAAGACTTCAAATTCAGCGTTAGTACAACCCTCTTGAGGTATGTTGTCTAGATAATCACACTTCCTCCCTACCCCAACTGTAATTTCTGCATGCATTTGCTTTGTTCGTGAAGCTTAATGACTTTGGAAGCACAATATTTAGCAGGCATACTCGTATACAGTTAGTGTGCCTATGATACAGCTGTACCAATAAAACGTAACAGAAGCTCCTCTGAAAATATTTGTGTCTCTGTATGCAATAATCTGCATACAAAAGAGTCCCAAAGCACTCTCTAGCATGATAGACTGGGCATTAAGTGATGCATAAGTAGCCCTTTAGACAATACACAAAAGAAGCTTTAGAAACATTATTCTCTAGTATAAGAAAAAGCTCAGCAAGCAAGGACACATTTCTTGCAGACTTTTAAGTCTATTATCTAAACCATTTAAAAAAATCAGATTCGATGCAATTTAGTTGAAGCTCAGATTAATGCAGGTTTCACTGGCCACGTGGCAAACACAGTTTCTTGTAAACCAATTCCCTTAATTGTCTAAGAGAGGATTGTTTAATTATTAAGCTAATGCAGTTTTATTTCTGCAGGAAACGGAGCCAAATCCATCAGTGTGAATAAAACATTTAAAGTAATGTCTCAAAATTTAGAGAAATAAAATTAACAGAGACTTGGCTGGTTTCTAAGTGCAGTTCCACTGCCTAGTGAATGAGACTCCATTCACTTCACAATCTACCCTGGTGTTCAGAATCACACTTACGGGTACAGTCAAACCGAATATGGCATGACCCATGTAGTGCAAACCCCCTGAATTCTAAGAACATAGGACCACTGGATCAGAGCTCTCCTGTTCCTGCCCAGGAGTTCCAAGACGGGCAGAGCCAACCATCAGTATGGGTGCCGAAGCTGTTGGTCTATTAAAAAATATCCATGTCACTGGAGTGAGCATCTACAAAAGGCATTAACTAGCATTGTTAGCTTTGGAGTCTATACTGAGAATCTTAACACAGGTATTTGGTTCTTAGCAGGATAAAAATTGGGACTGTGATAACCCATCCACCCCTTGCACGTGTCCACCAGCAGAAGCTCTATTTCTTTTAGGGACAGTCAGAACTATCTGGTAATGAGCAGCTAACATTTTTATCCTCTTAGGTTATCATAAAGGGTAACTGCTGGACAAATGCCATTTGCGAATGTCACGTGGTGAATCTGTGGAAAAAATTAGCGAGTTTTCCATGGGTTTTGCAACATGGAGTCTAGGAGAAAAAGACTTACTCTTCAGAAAGCAACAACCTAGAACCAACATCAGGTATGCTTTTTTTTGGTTTATCAGGCCTTTTAGCTGTTCTAAGATGAATGCCTGTAAGGATTAAGTAGTACAAGGTGGAGTTTCTCAGCCTGTGTGGTCAAAAGGCATAACCATCCCTTGATTTTCCAGTGCAGTGAAAGAGAATGCACTTGCCATTGTTAGACCATTGGAGATTTTTACGTAATGTCCTACCTGCAGTGGATTTGGTGAAGTAAGAGGAGATGGAAGGCCATGCCCTGGTGACTGGCTGGGTTTCTGAGGGGAGCTGGAGGACTGTGGGGCCGGAGGAGGTTGGCTCTGGCTCTGGGACTGTGTTTGGTTCTGCTGCGGTGGTGCTGATGGCTGTGGCTGTGACTGCTGGGTCTGCTGGGGTGGCTGTGGAGTCTGTGCCTGCTGACCTTGCTGCTGCTGCTGGCTTTGCTGCTGCTGCTGTTGGTGCTGGAGCTGCTGAAGATGCTGAAGCTGTTGAAGCTGGGAGTTCAGGGATGAGGTAGCTGTGAATTGAAGAGAGGGCAGGGAGTTATGAGAGTTTCTATTGTGTTAAAGACATTTGGATTAAATTATTTTTCTGTTACGCTGGGGGCTGCACTGCTCACTGAGAACAGGTGGCCTCAAACTTCAGGATGTGGCAGGAAATTGTTCCCACAAAAAATAGCCTGTGGTTCTGCCAGTATAATTCTGTGGTAAGAGCTGGAATTCACCAGGGGCAATGAAAGTAAACTGTTGAAAGAGTTACAGGTCTGCCCACAGGATGGGGGTCTGAGCTGACCAGCAGTCTTTGCTCAGACAGGCTTTCCAGTGAAACTAATGGGAATATTACGTGCCTAGAGAAGAGATCAACAGCTTGTCACTGTACACAGTATTGTAAAAACTCATAACATGAACTGGTGCTGTTATATAAAGGAGGAGAAAGCCAGAACTGTAAAATAAAAGATGCTCTGAAAGGAGCTTCGTCATGTCATTATACAACAGGTATCAGGAAACAAAACGTTGAGATGTGAAATTTCTTGTGCAATGCCTAGGTAGCAAAAATGCCCCATAAAATATGTGTGTCTCTGAAATAAGAACTGCTCCTCATAATTTATATCTGAAAGCTATACATTCCTTCTTGTGACTTGCACTGCTCACTTACTCCTGGTAGTAAAGACGTGCTGTGTTTTGCTAGCATGTGCTCCAAATATGAGGCTTGGAAATGAGTGGCTCATGTTAACCTACTGGCACAAAGGAGCAAACCTGATTTCCCAGAGACACTTCATTAAATTCAGGAAGGCAGAAAGTGTGTCATCAGGATGTCACTAAGGAAGAACAGCTTTAAGCAGCAGCCAGAGCATCACAAGGGCCTGATGCTTTCTGGAGTTATGCCGTGAAAAAAAGTCACCTGGGTCTCCAGCCTTACCCACTTTAATCAACATCTTAGGTGTTACATTAGTTAGCTACAAGATCCCAAGAAGAACATCTTGCAAGGTCATTACACTATTTTTCACTCTGTATACTGCTTTGCCAACACCACCCTGTATTCTAATTTCCAACCACAGAAGCCAAAGTAAACTGGGAATGAATCAAATTTGTTATTTCTAAAATGGCATTCAGATTTCATGGCCAGAAACTCTGTTCACCAAGTTATTTGTGGACTGGCAGATAGAGACAAGTCATCTCCACTTTCTTTTCATGCCAACATCCCTATTTCAGCTTTCTAGATGTCTGTGCCCTGGGGTTGAACCTGAGGTCTTGATACGACTTATGAAATCAATGAGCCATAAACTGGAATAAGCAAAAGAAAAAAGAAAAGAAAATGGAGAAAGATGAGGCAGAATGGGCAAACCAGAAAAGGCTGTATGAAGAAAAAGTGTGAGGCTTGTTAGGAGGAGCTGATGGCTATCCATTGCTGTACTCACAGCTGCTCTAAATTTTCTTTCAATAGATGTGGGAAGCAAACTACAAATATACCTTTACAAGACTTATAGCCATGTGTGACTTCAACAAGGAACCTGAATAAGGAGAGAGGAGGACTGGTAACACTAATATATTTCCATCAGGAAAGTTCCATCAGAAGTTTTGTGTTTCAACATAAAAGAGAGTGGCCATCAGATTAAAAACATGCATAGTATTTCCTGAAAAAGAAATGACCCTGGAGAAGCAAGGGTCCACTCCCACCGATTTCTTGATGAGAACTTGCACCTAAATGCCCCAAAGCCAAGAGGGTAGTAAGTGGAAATATAATCTAAGGCACAGGAAGGTGTGAATACAAAAACACAACTGCATAGATGAATATTAACCATAGCATGAAACACCTCAGATGTCAAGGAAAACTATTCACCAGCTCTATCTGTAGGTATGGAGAGGCAGAAAGACCCTTCCCATTCCCATGAGATAGATAAAAGGAAATCTAGACCAGCTCTTTATCTTGTGCAGGCCATTTCTTCACCTGTGATAGCTTAGCAGACTGGATGAACTATTGATAACCAGAAACAAGACCTCAAACATAAGAGACCCTTATTGAATCCACAGACTCCAATAAAGAAATGAATTAAATGACATCCCACAGAAGAATAACTTCTAATCCACATGGCTCATGAAGAGGAACAAGGGCTCGTTTCATATCTTATGAGCACGATTGGACAGGATGAGACAAAACTTTCTCATCTAGGAGTAGAAAAGCTTTGCCTTCAGTACTGCTTAATACTTGAATATTGGTGATTGCAGGAATATTGATATACAGTTTTGTACTGGAAATGACAACATTCCTGCTAGGGCGAAAGGTATTCCCTGAAGGAAAATCTTGTTGATGGAGAAAAGTCGCTTCATGGAAAAGTTTCCAGGTTCACTGCCAGCAACCACACAATATTATTCAAATAACTTCTTGAGTTTTCATATAATGCCTTTAAAAAGCCTCTTTGAAGCATATCCTCATTCTGAGCTTTAAACTGCATTGAAGTGCCTTAGTGAGGTATGACTGCCTAACATACTGTGGCTAAACAAACAGTAAGGAATTGGAAGAAGAACTGTTAGATGGGGAAAGGCATCCTCAGAGCCACACAGTAGGTGGTTTTAGGGCTCTGGATCATGCCTGCAAGTCCGTTGTTCATGCTGCTGGGTTGCACTGCCTCTCATAATGTGTGTATCCACAGCAGGAGTTGTGTCATATTATTGTTTGCAATCAAATCCAATCCAACTCCCAGAGCTTGCTTGCGTAGCTCATCCATTATAAATCGTATACCTGTCTAGCATTTGTCACTTTCTGCAGAGCTTGGAGTCTGATGGAATTTCAGGTGGTACAACAGTGCAATGTCTGCATGTATAAAAGATAACATGCACTGCCTACCTCACAGGAATCTTTTTTATGACTTACTGGCTAAGAGCTGGGTAAAACTTTGACATATTTAAGTGACAAGTGCCTACTTTCTTTCGGAATTGCATTCAAGATTTAAAGAGGCTCGCAAAGAATTGCAGAAAGTTCTTTCAGTGGTTAAAAAAAGGGACAATTAACTAAAAATGCATGCAAGCTATGAAAAACCGTGAGGAAAATCCACAAAAGCTGCGTGACATTTCAACTTTCCTCAGGGAAAATACATGTTGAATATACCATAGGTATACATAGCAGGTATCCAAGAAGACAGCAAGATGAGCAAAGAAGCAATGGCACAAGGGTTTTCAAATCTAGGGTTCAACTAGAATTTCGTGGTTGCTGTGGTGCCATGGCAGGCTTCCCATGGGATCACCCCGCGGTTTATGATCCCACTTTAAGCGGATTACAGTTAGTCACAGTATCAAAGCATTTGCATTAGAATAAGAGACATGGAGTTAAGTGGAGCAAATGGATGGTCAAGAGGCAGCGAAAGCAAACTTTCTGATCTCCTAGGTCATCTATATCTATACTTGTCATAGACCTCAGGCTACTTAAAGGATTAGGTGAAGTTATGACCTAAGGAACACGCTCCTCCTTGACTTTGGGGCACAGTGGTGTCATGAATTTACAAAATTTACACAAAATGTGTTGCTTCATTTTCTGTTTCTCTGCTGGTTACCTGCATAGAAACTGAAATGAAACTTAAAATGCCCCTATGTCAAGAAGAGTGTTGTGATGGGAAAAATCCACCTCTGATGCAACCATGCTGAAATAACCTGTCTGATCCATAACAAGGGAATGACTGAGTTTTGTTTTAGCGGGAAAACTGAAAAGGCTCTGTCTCCTATTCCCAATCTTGATTGTATTAACTAAAAATAGTAGCAATTGCCTGCTGCCTCTGGCTAACATGTTATGACGTAAGTATGGAATATCCCTGGTTATATTTTAAATAAAAACATACCTTTTAAAGCTCGATCACAATTCTTCAGAAAGCAAGGAACATAAGTAGGCCCACAAATGTTTACATAGTGGAAACAATTTAAAATGAGGACTCTTTTTTTTTTTTTTTCACCTCTCCTTCACAATATGAACTCAGAGTCTTAAAACCTCTGTAGTGCTTGGCGGAAGATCAAATTAATGTTCAGGGATTCAATTCGTATCTAGAATCTGCTCTTGTGGATAAGCTTCACATAATGTCTGATTTATTTCATTATTGTTTTGTGCATGTTTGTTTCTGTGTAAAGAGGGAAAAAAGGGTAGGAGGAATAAGAAATAATTGTAGCTTACAAACTATTGTGCTACTCCAGCATCTATCCTCCCATTTACATAATTGTGTAGCTGTTCTTCGGTGCCTTGATACAATGTACAATGGACTAAAAAGAAGAAAATCATACATTAAACCTTTTCCTATTTGACTGAGCACAGAACTTGACTCTTGCCATTTCAAGGGCTTAATGCCTTTTTCCACTTCCCCAGCAATGGAGAATGGATTTGCATTGCCTTAAACTGAAAAGTGTAACTAACTTAAGCATCTGGGCTTGCGTTCGGACTGACATCGGGGGGCTTTTTTTTTTTCCACCCTGTTGTTTCTCTTCTAATGAGGTTTATGCTTTTCTTTTCCTTGAAACATATTTCTGAAGATTGAATACACACACTGAACAATATAATGCAAGCCCGTTTGCATTCTCTCCCTCCTGGGTAATGAGGGCTAGGTTGGCCAAATGCCCAACGTGTTTTTGCAGATGCTCAAATTTTCTTTTTGAGAGAAAAAAAAAAGTGAGTTCTTTTAAATATGTTAGCATCCTCTTTGTGAAAAAAAATCCCTGAAGGGTTGGACTTGTGGCTGAAGAGATTAGTAATGGGATACAGAGCATATTATTTCTAAATCACTGGTTCAAATCAAGCCTAGGTCAATATAAGGAACAAAAGTCATTGCACTCACTATAATGGTGCTTCTGCCTGTTTTCTACCTTATAGAAGATGTATTAAGTGTATGGAAATTGTATTCACACACAGATACCCACAGAGAGCCTGCATGGGAAGCAGTTTGCCACACAGCCAAGGTAATAAATTTATGGTCTCCCTACATGTAATGAGGAAGATCATAAAGACTAGGGCCTTGGATGGCATCAGCTGACATCATTATTT